GCTACAGAAAGCACACAAAATACAGATGGATGTCGGGGGTTAATGCCTTCTAATCTCATTCCAACCTGAAAACCATTTTTGTGCTCCGGAAAGCATTGGTCCTATGAAATTTCATGACATAATGTTAGCCACTAAAATATCTTCACAATTTGATATTAAAACACTTGGTGTGGCCATGCATACAATCGAGAACTTACTATACTTGTTTGGATGCCCAGTAATATAGCTAAAGATAGAAAGCTGCTCATATATTTGGCCCTCAAAGATGGTCTGATGATTTCTTTGTGCTTTGAAATAGTTCATCTACAAAATACATGTCCTATGAACTCTCCATTTATTTTTTCCATTTTTCCTTAATGATTTGAAAGAGATTTCCTGTACTCTGGAAAGAATCCTTTGTTGATTATGATGACCTATTTCTAACCTGTGACTAGGCTCTTCACTTTGTTTATGATGACTTTGTTGCAGAGAATTGTTTTTTATTGTACTAAAACATATCTGTTATTTCCTGTACAGTTGCACATTTGCCTGAGAAATCCCCTGAAACCCTGAAGTTACAACAATATTCTCCTAGTGCTCTTTTAAAACTTTTGTTCCTCATATTTAATCTACAATGCTACTGGAATTTATTTTTCTATGGTGTGACATAGAGGTCTATTTTTCCATATGGAAAACAAAGTATTGAACAAATTTTTTTTGGCATAGTCCATCTATCTGCAAAGTTTTGTCTATTATTCATATTTTTGGGTCTATTTCTGGCCTTTTTGTTCTGTTCATCAGCTTACTTGCCTATATCACTTTGTCTTATTTGCTTATAATGACTCTTTCTATCTGGAGAGTAATCTTCATCATATTGAGTTTTATAATTCAGGAACTTGTTCCTGCTCCATTTAATCTAATCATTTATCTGTCCAAGATGTTTTTCTAAATTTTCAGATAGACTTCAAAAATGTTTTGTTATACTTATTTCTGTGCATCTTTTAATGTTTATTGCTATTGTAAATGAAATCTATTTCATAATAGACTTACTAATTTGTTCCCATTATTATTTTCTTTAATACTTACTGGTCTTGTTTCCCACAGCCTTGCTGAATTACTATTAGTTTTCAGCTGAGAGTTTCAAGAAGATTCAGCATTACTAGTTTATGTATTCTTAACTGCAAATAAACTGATAAGTATACTAATGGAAGATGATGATTAAAATCTAGTTCAAGAGCTGCTTTTCAATCACTAATGGTTTTACTATTTATTACCACTTAACATATGAATGCGTATTTAAAGTAAAATTTATTCTTTTGAAAAAAAATCTTTCCATTTGAAAATAGTGTCAAACTTAAAGAAAAGTTGCAACAAAATAGTACAGAGAATACTTGTAGCCTTTGCCTAGATTCATGTTATTAACATTCTACCTCATTTGCTCTGTCATTTCTATTTGCTCCTTCTCATATGTCTGTGTATATACAGAAACAGATATATACATATACATATATACATATACATGTACATATGATTGTTTTCTAAATCATTTGAGGGCCCTTTACCCCTAAATACTATTTTTCCCTAACAGCGTGTATTTTTCCTAAGAACAGGAACATTCTCTCCCATAAAAATAGCTCATTTATCAGCCTCTGTAAATCTAACATTTGTACAACACTTTCAACTAATCTTCCATTCATATTCCAATTTTTCTGATTGATCCAACAATGAACTTTATAGCATTCTCCCCATCCAGAATGGGACTCAGTCTAGGGTCAGATATTAAATTTACTTGACATGTCTCTTTTAGTCTTCCTTAATCTGGAACATTTTCCATAGTATTTCTTTACTTTTATAACATTGACATTTTTAAAGAACATAGTCTTTTCCCTCCTCCATTTTATTAAAATAGAAAGTTCCTCATTTTGGATTTGTCTGATGTTTCTCCATGACTAGATTCAGGTATGCCTATTTTGCCAGTATACTATGTGGGTGATGATGTGTTCTTAGGATATCACATCTGGAGCTACATGATGTTCATGTGTCCCCTCATTGGCAATGTTAAATTTTGATCACACAATTAGAGTGCTGTCTAATTCCTTCACTACAGTTACATACAGGACACACATATACATAAGTACATACATAAACATGTACACATATGTATGTACATCTATGCATACATATATATTTTTATAAATCATAACTTCAAACAGGTTCATCTAATTCCAGTCCATCCCCAAAGGGCTTGTACTGCCTTTTTTCATCCACATTTGGATATCTCTTATAACAATGGCAACACATTTACTTATGTGCTAAATCTTCTATGTATTATAGTTTTAGAACTGTTTTACCCACACTACTATAATAAACAAACCTATAAAAAGAGTTCAGGGTTTGTAGTTTTTCCTCCCTGCTCTGTCATCCACAAATGAGGTATATAGTTAAAAACTGCTTGGATTCATTTTTTTTTCCTTTCTTCAGTGCAGTTATGGTATTCATTTGAAGCATGAATGAATTCATTTGGTTCAATTTGCTTTCAGTTCTAAATGCTTTATTTTTATATTTTAATATGTAGAATATTAACATGCTTCCAAAAGTTAAGCTGTACATAAAAGGAACTCAATGAAGTGTCTCTCTGTCCCATATCCTATCCATCCATTCCACCACTTGCTGTAAGCAACCTTGCTGTTTTCTGGTTTATCCTTCCTGGGTTTCGCTTTGTAAAAATAAGCAGCCGCGTTCATGCTTCTTTTTATAAAAGGTAGCATACTATACACGCTACTTTCACTTCTAAGTCTCCTGGACTCCACTCCATATCAGGTCACATTGATTGTCTGTATTCTTTTTTTACAGCTGCATTATACTTCACTGCGGGTAGTTTATTCAACCTTCTCCTGTATTTGGGTGCATGCCTTTTTTATATGAACATGAAATTGTCTTAAAACCTTTATGAATTGGCTTATAAAATGTTTAAAACTTTCTTACACTCACAGATCATTTTAGAAGCTTCCAAGAAAAAAACTTAAAAGATAACAAAACCCAAAAATGAAATGGCAAGAATGAATGATTTCTCAGGAATATTTTGTTTCTACAAAAATAAATGTCATGTGTGTGTTTAACTCTCCCAGCCTCCTATCACATCTACTCTGTTTTCGAGCAGATTATATTTAACAAGTTTTGTGTGACTACCTCCTGTTCACTGCTTTCAAATTTGTCAGTTAACCTCAAAAGCACCATACACATATACATACACATACACATAACACTGATAAGAAAGCAAAGAGGAAGAAGAGACCACGAAGGGAGTGTATTAATAATGTTGAAAGGAAATTTAAGAAGCTGTAGAAACTGAGAGAATTTTTCATGTTTTAACAAAGCTGAAAGATGCAAAATCAGAAAAAGTATTATGTTGAGCAGACTATACCTTTTTATCACATACGAATGATAAATTTAAGACACTGGCAAAATTCACAGTTGGGAGTTAAGATGATCAATGTTACTTTTGTCGGCATTTCAAAATGGTTTCTCACCTGAACATTTAGGAGCTTTATATAATGTAGCAAGGAAGACTTACATGGCTAAAACAGCCACAGCATTCTTTGAGGTTTAAAATAAAAAACAAAACATTCAGTTTAACAATCTAGAAGGCAATATTTAGTGAGAAATATCACTGCCTTTCATCGATCTCTTTTCTGTTGAATGGTTTATTCATAGGAGATTTTATGGTTCATTTTTTCCTTTCTAAAAATCTTATATTTTATGAACATAATCGATAGCTGTGCTTATAAAATTATATTTTATGATGCAAAAAGGGAACTGAAATCACACACTTAATGCAAACAATGTAAGTTTATTAAATCTAGTCACAAAAAAATCATAAGGTTTGTAGACCTGAATAAAGCTTTTACAGATAAATAAACTCAAGCCCGTAGAGGTTAGAAGACTTTCTAAAGGTCACACAACCAGTATAGTAGTAGAGCTTAACTAAGGACCCAAGTATTCTGAAAGCCTAATAACCATTTGTTCCACCTAAGGAGACAGACTTGGCAACAAAACAGGGAAAACAAAACGTGGCTTGAGGCCATGGAAGGCCTCAAGGACATGTCTAAGGAAGTGTCATGTGCTCTATGGTATACGAAACTTAAGGTGTTTTGTTTTGTCATTTTCTTTTACAAGAACAGTTACAAAATAATACTTTCAAACAGGTACAAATTATATACTATTATTTAAAAATAAAATGAGTCAGAGCATCAGGAAAAACAAACAAACCTAAAATACAAAAACAAAACACCATGACTACAGAAAAGCAGACAGGCTATTGGCAAAACTCCTTTATGAAATACAATGCACACGGCACTAATTATCATATGTGTGTGTCAGCAGATCTCCGCTCTGTGGGTGGG